CGCAAATGGCTACCATATTGAAAAATATACTATTTTTGTATGATAATTATGGGTTTTGTATTTTATTTTAATAGAAGTTGATGTTGCTTTTGCAATTATCCATCAATTTTTTAAAATTAAACACTATCTACAGATTTGCATCGAAGCGTTTCTTATGATAGTGATTTTAATCACTGTCAGATTAAATCTATACTGGACCCTACTATGCAATGTCTCCACTATGCCGCGACCCCACTGTGCTACCGTTTTATTGTTTTATACTGTTTGCAATAAATTTAAAAAAAAAAATTTATTGTAAAATAATTTTTTTATAAATATTTTTTGTCTTATTGTTGTTTCTCAAATGACTGATACATTTATTATGTATTCATAAGTCATTATTATTTTTTTTTTATAAAATACATATTATATTTGTATTAAGCATGTATTAGATATATAATAGATGTTTATACCCCTGAAAAATTAAATATAGAATATTTACTTCATTAGTTGTATAAATAATGATGATTATATATAAAAATATATAAATATTTGGTTAACCTCTTAATGAAATAGACCAGATTATAAATTTACTTTATTAAAATTTTTTGAAGCTTAAAAGAAATCTTTGGAAATGGCCAGTAAGCCTATTTTTTAGTAAATATAAAATGTACTGAAGTGTATTAGTTTTTTTAAATTTTTACTTGTTGCAATTCTATAGGTAATGGTACAATATCAGACAAATTAACACATTCTTCATATCCATAATCAATAAATACAATATTGTAATTTTTTTCATCAATTTTGCTTGTTATTCTTGCTCTGTAGAAGCATCCATCAGCAACAGACTTAGCTCCAAATATTTCTAATAAGTTTGGTGGTTTACTATCACTAGTATTTCCTGAAATGCAATGTTTCATTTTAAATAACTACACTAGCTTAAATAATCAATATATACAGTTGTGTTACCAGGTTTTGACATCTTATTAAAGATAATACAAAAAATGTATTATTTTTTTAAAAGTTGAGAAAAAAAAACAAATCAAATATATCATTTTACATGTAATTAATTTTAACGATTTGCTTTAACTAAATGAACCAATCAAAACAAAGTTGTTAAAAAAATTTACTCAATTGAGCTTATTATAAAATTTGATTATGATTTTAAAAATCCATTGTTAATTCATGAAAAACTAAAAATCAATTTTTTTACTTTATGATTTATATAGCAACATGTTACAAAAAAATTTGTAATATTATAGACTGGTAGTAGCACACACAAATAAAGTTAAAAATTAATAAATTACAAAGTAAAAATATTTACTTTTGTAGTTAAATACTTTTATCATATCAAATCTAATTCGACAATAAATACTTTAAAAATATTAGAAATGAGTGATTTTAATTGTTTGTATGGAAAAAGCTGGTTGACCTACTTTTTATTTGAATAAGGAACATTTTTAAGGGTAATATCTTCAACTAAATACGAATTGTAATTATTTGACGTATTGTTGAAAAAAGTAGGTCAAGTTAGAGCAGAGAAAATAAATGATAGTCACAAAAATATGTCTTCTCAGCTTTGCATTGAAGCTAAAACTTAAAATATAGTAAAATAATTTTAATACGAATAAGAAATTTCTTCTTACAAGGAGCGACTAAAATTATGGGATCATTGATCTTTATTGAAGTTATTGAATCTAAATGAGATAAAAATCAAACGAGTTAAAAATTTATACTAACTTAAAAAGAATTAAGAAAAAATGCAAAAAATTCATTGCCATACGCGTGTTGGAACCTCGTATCCCAAGCGTGTAAAACATAAATTTTACCAACTCGGCAACCGTATGTTGTTACCGTCAGATGAAAAAATTGGCTATTTAAGCTAAACCAAATTTCAAGGTTACATTTCTCGACTTAAAAGAAGCAAACAAATTTAAATAAGTTTAACTTTCTATGCTATATTAATTTATATAATATTTATGAAAATCTGTACTCCAATTGTCAGGTATTTTAAAATAAAATAAAATACAAAACCCAGAATTTTAACACAAAAATAGCAAAATTTGAATACGGTAGTCATTTTTACCATGAAGTCAAATTTTTTTTTTCAAATTAAAGTATATTACATTAGTTTTAATTTAAGATATATATAAAAGTGTCAGTCTTTCCGGAACATTTTCAAAAGTTATGTTGAAAAAGTTAATTTTTTTTGAAAAAGTTGTCCTTTTGAATCCCCTTCTGTGGGCAGGGAAAAGGTCAAATTTATAAAAAAAAATATATAAAATGATAGGTAAATATCTAAGGTATCTATAAAAAAAAAAATTATATTGATTCGGTTATTTTTAAAAAAGTTATAGCAATTTTAAGTAAAAAAAATTGAAAAAATATCGCAAAATTAGCGATTTTTAAATTTGTAATTTATTGGGGGATTTCCCCCGTTTACGGGGAACGAGGGATTTTTTTCAATTTTTGAGGGTAATGTCTTCAACTAGATACGATTTGTGATCTTTTGACATATTTTTCATCAAAATCGGTTCAGTGAGAGCTGAGATTAAGCGTATACAGACACAATAAAATAAAAAAAAAAAACACATTATAGTAAAATTAATACCTTCTCAGCTTCGCATCAAAGCTAAAATTAATTTAGCACCATTATAAGGGATGATAGATTGACATAAAAAGTATTTTACTTAAAAATTAAAAAATAAATAGTTCCATACAAAATCAAAAAAATATTTCAAAAATTATTATTTTAAGAGAAATTTAGTGGTCAAGGATAATTCCATTACTCTGTATGTATATAACAAACCTAATGAACAATATGTATGAACCCTTTCAATAAGCTTCACAAACTCATCATTATGATCTTCAACTTTACGTACAAATATATTATTTAAGTCAATAAAGGCTGTCATGTATACAATGTCACCACTTTTCAATAAACTCAATGTGTCAACAAATTCATTAGTATTAGTATCTTTCTTTGCAACATGATCTATAAAACAATTAAAATAAAACTTGAAATAAAATTAATACATTTTGCATCAATAAAAAGAAAATATCTGCATAAATTTTACTGAATTTGATTATGAAAAATAATTATAATTTTTCTTCAACTCAAAGGTTAAAAATATAATTTTAATTAACTCATTTGATATTCTATTAATCAAAAAAAATTTTATCATATAGAATTTTCATCGATCATACTAAAATTTTAATAATTTAAAATTACATTTCACTTAAAAAAAAAACTCTAATTCTAAAACAATATTTTGCATTTTAGAAGCATAACAGCATTAAACTATGTTCCTTTGTTATTGATTTTTAAATGGAAGTTAAAATTGTATACATTTTATATTTCTAAATAATTTTATATTTTTACTTTTATCTGTATTATTTTCATCAGCTAATAACTTTGTTAGTTTTTCATTAACATTTTCATTACCATTCTCTGTGATTAAAACAACTTTTTTTAAAGATTCTAATGGATCAAAATCCTGAAAAAGAAATTCTTTTTAATTAAGAAAATTATGATCATCAAAAGCTCTTTTTTAAGGAAGAACTTTAATTTACAATTATATACAAAATCAAATCTTAAATGATTAATTTAAATAAATATAGTTTAAAAGCTTTTTTTTCAGTTTTTTTTTACTATATTTATTTTTTACTTTTTTATGACATTGCTATCACAGTCACGGAGTGTTAATTGTAAATTATGACTATCAATAGATAAAATTTCTGTATTGGAAGTTAGTATATTTTTAAATTCACAACTATGTCTTACTACTATTTTTAATAAAGGCTATATACCTACGAATATCGTCATAAAAAAATTATACAGGATTAGTGTTTCCGGCGTGTGGTGAGCAGGGTGGGGTGAATGCGATAATAATAGCACGTGGCGCGTGGAGAGTTACAAACATACAACAAACATTCATGTGAAACTAATATAAGCGTGTTAAAAAGGAGTCAATAGGTTGGTGGTTACTTGTAGTTATTCATGATCTTCTACACACATGCAGGCTTACCACTGGCCATATTTAGTGTCTCGCACTATCATAGTTGAACATCTCGAAGTTTAAAAATAAAATAAAAGAAGGACAAAAAAGAATAGCAGATGATTAAAAAAAGGACAACGTGGTTTTCACTATGAAAATATGCACAACATTTTCATCTGTTCATCTCCGTAGCAAATGGTGATAGTTTATATATAGTCATATAGAGGCCGGTAGTAAGATGACGGGTAATAGTGGTGCAAACTTGGAACAGGTTCATAGGGAGTTACATAAATATTGGGGATGCACTGTGTGTGGTCAGCTGTCACAACAAACTGGGTACTGACCACTGGACAGGTTGATTTGTACACGATTAATTTAATAATTGAGGACATATTTAACACCTACTGTACATATGATCGACTAATGTCCTAATAATTTATATAAATTGTATAAATTTTGTAATATTATACCTGTGGATAGGGGCTAAGAATACTTTCACGGCCCCTATTCTACCAGTCGTAAGTGGCGACTAATGAGGTTGTGTCAGGTCGACAGCAGGCGTAAAACTTTTTGTCAAAAAAGTATGAGGAATCCTGAACAAAACTTAGGCGGATTGTCCCATCACGGATGTACACAGGGACAACAGATAGTAGTTAAAAACGGAGAAAGCCTAAAGAATAAAGTGTTTGATACCAGCCGGAAAACTTGTGCGGGAGCTGTTTCACCAGTCATGTGTACAGATCTACCCAATGCTTGTAGTGTTAACTGTGTAGGGACATGATCACTTAACTATAGGCTGGACTCATGTATAAGGGAGAAAGATAGATACAAAGTAAGAATAGGTACATGGAATGTTGGAACATTAACTGGTAGAAGTAGAGAATTAGTAGAAGTATTGAAGAGGAGAAAAGTTAACATTTGTGTATGCAGGAAACTAAGTGGAAAGGAGCGAAATCAAGGGAAATAGGTGAAGGTTATAAAATAATATACTCAGGGAAGTCTAGTACAAAGAATGGTGTAGGGATAATAATGGATGAGGAGATGAAAAGTAAAGTAGTAGAAGTAGGTAGGAAAACTAACAGAATTATAGTCGTGAAATTGATATTCGAACAAAAAGTGCTGAATGTAATAAGTGTCTATGCACCACAGGTAGGATGTGATGAAATAGACGAGGAAGTGTTTTGAAGAGAGATGAATGAGGCGATGCAAGAGGTATCTGGCAATGAGGATACGGTGATAGGTGGAGATATGAATGGACATGTAAGTAATCAGAGGAGAGGATATGAAATTTAATAATGAGTTAAGGATTGTCAAGTTATAGCAGACAAGAGTATAACTACACAGCATAGACTGATGGTAATGGAGTTTTGGTGTACTGAGAACAGAATATACAAAAATTGAAGGAACACGGGAGAAAAATCGAAAATCCGGTGGTGGAAATTGAAAGAGGAAAATGAAAAAGAGTTTGTCAAGACAGTAAAAGAGAGGACAGTGTGGTATGTCGAAGATGATATAAATGATGTGTGAAATAGATTTGCTAGTTGTGTAAAGAATATTGCAAAAGAGATAATTGGTGAGAGTAAGAGAAGAATGCCAGGAAACAAGGAAACCTTGGGATGAGGATGTTAAAAAAATTATAGAAAGTAAGAAAAAGCAATTCAAAATATGACAGAAGAGCAAAAGGAGAGAAGATTGAATGGAGTATAAAAGCTTGTGCAAAGAAGCCAAATGTGCAGTAAGTAAGGCGAAGTTAAAAAGATATGATGAGTAGTATAATAGGCTAAGAACAAAGGAATGCGAGAAAGAAATCTATATACTTGCAAAAGTAAGAGAGAAAAGGACTAAAGATTATCATTATATAAGGTGTATAAAAAGTGTTGATCATAGGGTACTCTAAAGTGATGATGATGTGAAAAAAGGTGAAGAGTATTTTGAAAAATTACTGAATGAGGAGTATTCAAAAGAGACATTAAATGATATCTCGTGAAATGAGGGACTGGTAGAATTAATTAGTGAAAAGATGTATCGGAGGCCGTGGCATCAATGAAAAAGAATAAAGCGATGGGGCCAGATGAAGTGCCAGTAGAAGTATGGAAAATATTAGGTGGTGTTGGCATAAGGTGGTTGAAGGAACTTTCAAATAAAATCTTATTAGAAGGGAAAATTCCAAATGAATGGGGGAATAGTATTGTGGTGACGGTATTTAAAGGTAAAAGTGACATACAGGAGTCTGGAATTTAGAGGCATAAATAAAGCTTATGAGTCATAGTATAAAAATTTGGGAAAATGTAATAGATAAGAGAATAAGAAATAAGATATCAGTATCTAAAAACCAGTTTGGATTTATGCCTGGTAAGTCAACAATGGACCCATTATTTTGTGTGAGGCAATTAATAGAAGTTTAGGGAAACGAAGAAAAAGCTGTGTATGGTATTTATATATTTGGAGAAAGCATATGATAGAGTGCCAAGAGAGGTTCTAAAGTGGGCATTAATGAGAAAAGGAGTCCTGAAAAGGTACATTAATATAATAAAGGATATGTATGATGGCACTTGTACTAGGGTAAAAAGTGTGGGAGGAATAACAGAAGGTATTCGGGTAAGAGTAGGAGTGCATCAGGGTTCTGCTTTTAGACCTTACTTATTTTCTATTGTGATGGATGAAATTACTAGACATTCAAGGAGAGGTGCTGTGGTGCATTAGGGTGGCCCTTAAAAATCGAATGTCTTTTTTTTTTTTACGCTACCCCTTAATTTTTTTTTAATGGTCAAAAAAATGAGCTGTGCAAAATTTGGGACCAATCCGTTAAGGTTAACCCGTGCCCCCGGGCCTATTAAGTTGAGTTATAGAGTCAAATTTAATAGAAATAACTGATCTATGTCTCATAACTTTTTTTGCTCTTAACTTAGAATAATAAAAGTAAAACTCAAGTAAAGGAAATTTTACAGGAAATTCAAAAATAATAACTTCAATGTTGTTTTCTCAATAAATAGCCCACAAAAACACTACATACAGTAAAAAACATGTAAAAGTCTTAAAATACGTTATAACTGATTTTGTTGATTTTTAATTATTTATTTTCATTTTATTTTTTGGAAAACGCATATTCATTTAAAAAAAGATTCTAGAAGTTTAATTTTTTATGCCAAGTACGATAATTATATTAGATTTATTATTTTATGGACAGTTAATTAATGATTAATTACAAATTTAACAAAATTGATTGTATTATTACATTTTGTCGTATCAATATATCAATTTTGGTTTACTGAATTACTTTAAGATAGTACCAATTATATTATTATTAAAGATAAGTATATTTGAGTTATTTTCGACAACTGACATAATTTGTGTCGTATAAATGCAGCAGACAATTTGTGAACACGTTAAATATATTTTACCTGTTTATTATTATATATTAAATGATACGTTTTAATCACAAATGTACAATACTTTTAGCGTCTTTTAAAGTATTACGAACTAATATTTATCTTATTGGTAATTATTCCCACGAAATAACTGGTAGTAAGTTACCATCAAATTTACAACTATTTAATCTGAACACTGATTTTTTGAAAATTGATCCATCATTTTGGAGTGCGAACAACAGTTACATAAATGCTTTAAATACTATAAGTAAATTACGAGTCATTAATGATACAGCCTAGCGTGGCATTAAATTAATCTAAGACTACATTAAATATAAACTACAAATGAAGAACAGAAACAATACGTTTTACAAATAGTAAGTAATTATCGGAAAAAATTTCCTAATTGTAAAAAAAGTACATTATCAAAAAATATATTATAATAATATAATTTAATTATTGTTAAAATATTTTTTTTAAAGTTATTATTATTTAAAAAAAAATAAATTAAAAATTGTTAATAACAATTAAATTAAACTGTTAGGTTTGTAATTAATCATTAATTAACTGTCCATAAAATAATAAATCTAATATAATTATCGTACTTGGCATAAAAAATTAAACTTCTAGAATCTTTTTTTAAACGAATATGCGTTTTCCAAAAAATAAAATGAAAATAAATAATTAAAAATCAACAAAATCAGTTATAACGTATTTTAAGACTTTTACATGTTTTTTACTGTATGTAGTGTTTTTGTGGGCTATTTATTGAGAAAACAACATTGAAGTTATTATTTTTGAATTTCCTGTAAAATTTCCTTTACTTGAGTTTTACTTTTATTATTCTAAGTTAAGAGCAAAAAAAGTTATGAGACATAGATCAGTCATTTCTATTAAATTTGACTCTATAACTCAACTTAATAGGCCCGGGGGCACGGGTTAACCTTAACGGATTGGTCCCAAATTTTGAACAGCTCATTTTTTTGACCTATTAAAAAAAAATTAAGAGGTAGCGTAAAAAAAAAAAAGACATTCGATTTTTGAGGGCCACCCTAGTGGTGCATATTGTTTGCTGACAATATAGTATTAATAGGAAAAAATAGGGAGGAAATTAATCAAAGGCTAGAGATGTGGAGATCAGCTCTTAAAGAAAAGGGTTTAAGATTAAATATGAGTAAGACAGAGTATATCGAGTACGAGTTTGATAAAGAATACGAGGTAGGTGAAATAAGAAGATCAGTGACAAAAAGAGAGGACGTGATTGGAAAGGTAGAAAGTTTTAAGTATTTAGGATCAGTTGTGCAAAAGAGCGGTGGTATTGACGAGGATGTAAGACACAGGATTAAGTGTGGGTGGTTGAAGTGGAGAGAAACGTCTGGCGTCTTATGTGATAAAATAATTCCAATGAGGCTGAAAGATAAATTCTATAAGACTGTAATAAGGTTTGCGATGATGTATGGTTCAGAGTATTGGGCGGTTGATAAGAAAGTAGAGCAAAGAATGAGTTTAGCAGAGATTAGAATGCTTAGATGAATGAGTGGAGTGACTAGAAAAGATAGAATAAGGAACGAGCATATAAGTGGGAGTATAGGTGTAGCGTCAATTGTGGATAAGATGAGAGAAAATAAACTTAGATGGTTTGGTCATGTTATGAGGAGAGAAGAATCGGAAACCGTAAGAACAGTTGTACCTATGAATGTTGAAGGAAGAAGAAGTAGAGGAAGACCAAGAAAGAGATGGAGAGATGTTATTGAATGCAATATGAGGACAGCTAATGTGAGCGTAGAGGATGTGGAAGATTGTGTCAAGTGGAAGTTTAGGATAAGGGTGGCCGACCCCAAGTAGTTGGGATTAAGGCGAGGAAGAAGAAGAAGTATAAATTTTGTAATATTACAAATGCTAAACACATTATCTTAACATTAGAAGTTTATTTTAAGTTTTAGGAAATATTAATATAATATACATTTCATTATTTTCTACTGTGATGGTGTCATGTTACCATTATTGTTCTGATATTAGCAACTGATGAATTGACAATAAAAAATAATTATTTCGAAATTAGCAAACAATCTAACACTATTTAAACTCAAAGAACCTGACCATTATGGTCAGTTAACTCTAGTACGTAGCCATATGCTTTGTCATTCATTAGTTTTTAACAGCCTGCAGTCTTTCAATAACTTACACCAAATAAATTAAAAAAAAAAATTGAAAATTTTGCTGATTTTTATATTTTGCAAAAGTTTTTCTTTTCAAATTTAATGGTAAATATGTAAAAAATATTTGAATATTTTTAAACAATATTTTCTAATTTTGAATAAATAATAATTCATAAAAATGTTTACTATTGAGCTACATATAATCCCTTCAATCCAATATAACATTTTTACTCTAAATTAATTAAATTGAACTTTATCTAAAACAAATTCAGTAATAAATTTAATTATTTAATTTGAACATACTATGATCATCGGTATATAACTTTGCATTAATTTAATCACATATTCTTTGGCAGCTTTTGTTAAAGGTTTTGAATCTAAACCCTTTAATGTTACAGTACTAATGTTTGATGGGCACTAAAATAACACAATAGAAATAAAAAATCAGGGAATTAACTTGTAACTGCATTAAATTACCATTAGATCTTTGGGCAAATCAACTATGTCCAATATGTGCACTGTATCTTTATCGCCAAAATCAATAAACTGAATTAAATAACTATCATTATCTACTTTATCTAAAATTACTCCTCTGTAGAAATTTTCATCTAGGCTTGATTTAGCTCCAATTAAATCTCCTATTTTTGGAAGTCTTTTTATTGCTTCAGCTAAAATGTTGAGTACATATTTAAATTTAGTTATAAAATAGTTACAATAAGATATTATGAAGATTAAATAATTAAAACTAGAATTTACAACTTATATCATGTTAAGAATTTCAATGCACAGCTAAGTATCAAAGCTGTGCAATAAAAAATAACAAACTATTTACATTCACAATTTACTAATAACATTGATGCAAAACTGAAAAGGTATTAATTTTACTATGTGTATTTAATTTTTTTAGCTTCGATGCAAAACTGAGAAGATATTAATTTTACTATAATGTGTTTTTTTTTGTCTGTTACCACTTTTACTCAGCTCTCACTGGACAGATTTCTTTTTATGATACGTCAAAAATCACAAATAATACCTTGTTAAAGACATTGCCCACAAAAATTTTAATCAATTAAAATATATTTCATATTTCCAATAATAGTTTTGAAAAATATTGTGTGTAATGAAAAAGTTGCAAACAATTAGTTGTTACTAGTGATGGGAAATATCGAATAGTAACTATCGAACTATTCGAATAGTAAAAATATTCGATAGTTACACATATATTCAAATATTTATAAAAATTATTTGATAGTCTATTCGAATAGTTTTTAAAACTATTCGGTACCTCCATTCGAATATTTTTTAAAATATTTGATAGCCTATTCGAATAGTTTTTAAAACTATTCGGTACCTCCATTCAAATAGTTTTTAAAATATTTGAAAATGCCCATCACTAATTTTTTTTATTATTAATTATATCCTATTTATAATCGTAGTACCCTGAATAAACAGTTTTAAACAATCTTATTTAGTCGTTAGTGTTATTAAAACAGCAAAACTATAAATCTGACTATAATTTTAAATAAGACCAATGTTTTAAAAATTTAACTTGACATATTTTTTTTACGAAACATTTTGTTGTAAAATGATTATTTTGAGAATTAAGAATGATTTATATTCAAAAAATTAATTTTAGCAAATTATTTTTTTATCTTATTTCTTTGAGCAAGTAAAAATAATTTTAGAAAATTGTTGTGAAAATAATTTTAGAAGAAAATATTAAAATCTATAATTCATATTCTATACATTGTTACGCTAAGTATTCAATGATTAACCGACTAATAAAAATAGTTCATATAATTTTTGAAGAAGAGCAGTATTTATTGTTGTCGCCACTTTTACAAATGTAAAAATTTAAAACTCGCTGTCCTCTTTATTGGTGTTATGCCTTTATATGACAAAAGAGCATGTAATGCTAGACTAAGAACAGTATACAAGGTATTAAGTGTAAAATAAGACTTTAGTATTTACGAATACTTCGGTTGCGCATAGAACAAACCTTTCCGATAAAACTGAAAATATATCATTAGTCATCGGAAAAAAGAACTGCCTTTTAATTTTCAACCCATATTTATCAGTTTTTACCAACGACTCACAAATTAAAAATAAATAAAATAGTACTTTTTACTGTTATTAATTGTATAATAATTTATTTTAAGTATTTGTTAATTATCTTCTTATTATAATTAAGTGTAGTTAATAAAAATTTTAGTTAGAACTAATCAAATATTTTTTGAAACCATTCGCTAGCCCATTCAAATGTTTTTAAAAACTATTCGAATAGTATTTGATAGTTTTATTAAAAGCATAATTTTGATATTGAAATAGGAAACAATAAAAAGCTATTGCAAATATAATATTATAAGGTAAAAACAATACCTGATGAACAAAATAAATCTACTTCATCTAATAATTTATGGAATTCCTCATTATTATCTTTTAATTTTCTTACATATATTTCTGTCAAATTTTCAAAAGCTGACATGTAAACTTTGTCTCCTGGGTACAAATATTTTTCTCCGAGATCATTTAATGGTTTATTAAGAGTATCTATAAATGAATAGACTTTTACTTAAATAATTACCATTAGTTAGTCATTAAATGAATAAATAACCTAATATCGTTTCAATTTCAGTATTATTTTTTTTGGTACAATTGTTTTCAATTTCATTTGAGTCACATATTAATTTATTTAAATGTTCATTCACTATTATATGATTTGAAGTTTTCAACACTACAAAATTTTGATAAATATATTCCTATAGTAATAAAATTTAATAGTTAACAAATTATATTTTAAAAAAAATAATAAAAAAAAAAAAACTTACAATTATCAAAGATTCATTTTCACACAAATGGGTAATATAATCTTTAGCTGCATTTGTCAAAGTTGTCAATTGAACATCTTTCAAAATTAAATGATGTATACTTGGAGTTACCTGAAGTTAAAGTAGTATGAATGCATTTAATCATCAAAACATTCAATTATCAATATACCAAATCAAATATATTTAAAGTTAGTTATAAAAACAAAGACTAAAAAATGATATTCTAGCTATGCAGATTAAAAGAATTAATAGAGAATGGAAAATTCTCCTATCCTTAAATATTAAAAAAAAACGAGTTCATAGATATAAGTTTAATTATATTTACTTCACATTTAGTTTTAAATGTGTTCTAATTCTATTTACAGGTAAATTCTGTTAATTTACTTAAATTTGAATTTTGTGTATAAGAATGCAAGTTTAAATTAGGAGTCTAAAAAAACTTTTCTGGTAATTTTTTAGTATTTGTATTTCTTTATAGCAAAAACTATAACTTTTATGATAAGTTGGTGAATTTACAATAAATAATATATCTCGAATGAATTAGTTTATATTTATAAATAAAAACAAATAAAACTAATGATAGTAAATAGAGACAATTAATTTAATTTTTTATTTAATTTAACTTACCTATATTTTCATAATTTTTCATCACTAAGTAGTACTGTTGTAACTTATTAACAAATAAATTTATAAAATATTTATTTTTACTTACCTGTTTTAAATTGTTTGAAAGGAAAACAATGTCTGTTATATTTAAACATTCCTCATTTCCATAATCAATAAACTGTAATTTATAGTTATTGTCACTTAAAATTTCAATAACTCTACCTCTATAAAAATTTCCATCTAATAGTGATTTAGCACCAACTATTTCATTCAACTTTAATGAATCAACAGTTTTTGCTAAAAACATAATTAAGGTATTTTATTTCTATTTTTAATTATATTTTAATTTTTTAATACCAGATGCACAATAAGAGTTGACTTCTTCAATAAAATTTAAGAATTCACTAGTTTCATCTTCTATTTTACGCACGTAAACATTAAGAGTATCTTTGAATTCAGTAATATAAACAGCATCACCTTTGCATAGAGTTAAACATTCATCACCATTTTTGCTATCCTCATGAACAATGACTTCTATCACAAATAACAAAAATTGCAGCAAATTTAATTAAAAATTATAAAATACAAACTGAAATATAATTTAGTATTATATACAATGATTTATTGAGTATACTGTCCCCTATTTTTTCATAAAAATGTACAGATTAAAATTTTGTTTATTTTTATAAACCATAGTAAATAGTAAGTTTATTTTCAGAAAAATTATTTTCTAAGGGTAGATTTTAGGGTTAACTTTAGAAAGCTAAATGGTAACCTATTACTATATTTTTACTAATAAATGGTGAACATTCTAATTTTGAATGTTCAATAATCAGTTTTATAGTATTACTTTATGAGTTATTAGCAGTTATAGATTTAAAATTGTAAGGAGTGGTGTAGTACCAGTATTAGTTACAATATTTTGTAACACACTCCTATTACTTTTAATTAAAAATTATAATAATTAAAAAAATAATAACACAAAACTTGTTTAAACTTAAAATTTTATTTAGTTTACTTTAAATTTAATAGTATAAAAATTATACATTCCCATTTAATTTTCAAAAGTTTCCCTGTGAAATAATTGTTTCTTATTATAATCTTGATATTTACTATGTTTCATAAAAATAAATCAATTAAACCTGTGCAATTTTATGAAAAAAACATTATTTGATAAAAAAATGAGAGATAGTGTTCTTAATGAATAACATTGTATAAATATTATTTTATTAATATAATAATAATAATAATCTTACATAATCAATAGTTTTATTAAATCAGTAAATTATTCCATTTAACACAAAATAATTAACTATAATTTAATGACCACACATAAAAATGTTAAATTAGTTATACAGTACATAGATACACAGTATGTTATACAAAGGCTAATTTAAATATGTGCAGCCAACTTTTCTCTAAGTTAAATTTTTTTATATTATTTAAATATAAGAATTATTTTTTAGCTTCGATGGAAAGCTGAGAAAGTAATTTTACCATGATGCGTTTTTTTGCGTCTTTTACCACTTTTTAACACGCTTATATTAGTTTCACATGTATGTTTGTTGTTTATTGTTTGTAACTCTCCACGCACCACCTATAATTTATTCTCGCGTATCCCGTCATATTATATATTATAATACGTTTACGTACTTAAGTCGCCTTACTATATACAGGGTGATTTATTAAAGATAAGACACTCATTTTCTCAGTAACTATTGAAAATTTTTTATTTTTGATAAGGAAAATATTGTTTGATTCAAAAAACTCTACAACAATATGTAGTAAAAACATAATTTTTTTCATCCCTTCAAGGTTAAAGAACATTAACTTGAATTTTTTCAAATAGGAACCCCTATTTTGAATTTGTTATTATGATTTAAAATAAAAATACAAACAACTTTGCACCGATAATTTTTTTTTTTTCAATCAAATGTTCATCTGTTACAACTTGTTAAAGTTAAATGATTTTGGACTACATTTCTATTATTATTTTACTGTTTTGAATACAGAAGTTTCTATTAGTACCCTGATTTCCCGTTACTCGTTAAAACCATGATATTGATAGTATAATTATTTTTCATAATTATTTAAGAATTTTAAAAGACCCTATTTATAAGTATTATACATATTTCCATATGGCATCTTTTAAAAATTAAAATGACAAAAAATAAAAATTCAATGTGTTTAACAGTAAATTTAAAATTTAAATAATTTTCCAATTAGTTGAATTACACTATAACTGGGTCATTTTAATTTTACAAAATTTTAAATTGTTATAAAAAAATAAAAAAATTCAAAAAATTAGTTTAAAAGAATATTAAAATTTGTTTAAAGATTGATTATGAAAATGTATTAAATTATGACATAACTATAAAGTTATTAAAAACTTATTTTCTAATAAATAAAATGATTAAAAATGTATGTTTGCATTAAAAACTTAAGTTGATATCATTCAAAAGCATAAAGGATGTAACTAAATCATACTAAGTCAACAAAACTTATTATATAAGGAAATTATTTATAATTTAAAAAGCCAATAAAATGTTTGATAAAAAAAAATCGAGTGATCAACAATAAATCACTCTATATGACAATAGTTTTATTTTCAGTAACTTTAGAAATAAAACAACATCAATTTATTATTTGAGGAAAATTAATGCTATTAATACTAAAAATTAAACAACATACCTGAAAGTGTATTAAGAGATATATTCCGAGTTTTTAAATCTTGATTACTTATTAGTTTATTTAAGGTTTCATTAACATTTTCATTGTTTACAACTTTTAACAAAGTAACATCTCTAAGAGGGATTTCATTACTAAAATTCTAAAAAGAAAAATAATTAATTTTAATACAAAGTTTCAAAGTTAGTTTTATCATAATACAAACAATTATCATTGGCTCATAATTTTCTAACAAATTTGAAATGTACTCTTTGGCAAGATCACTCAAAGAACTTGACAAATTAATTCCTTTTAGAGTTATTGCCTTTACTGTAGAGAGTATCTATTATTATACACAAAATATTTTAATCAACAAATTATTGTTTAGAATTTTAAATACTCACCATGTATTCTATAGGAATTTCAACTATATTTGATATTGGTACAGTATCTTTGTCTCCATAATCAATGTATCGAATTAAATAATTATTACTATCAATTTGATTTAATACTTCTCCCCTATAAAATCTACCATCAATAACTGATTTAACTCCAACCATCTGACCAATTGATAAAGTTTTATTGATGAGGGGAGCTTAAATAATAACAAAAATTATCAAATGGCACAAATAGTAATAAAATAAAATAATAAGCAAAATAGTTTATCGGAACATTTTTGTTGCTTGAAGTGCTTAAGGATGTATCCTTATCGGAACATTGTTATATTACATTATTACACTATATAAATTATTGATATTTTATTATTACAATTTAAAGGTGTTGGGAAAGTTAAAAATAAAGAAGCTTAGATTAAACTAATGGAAGTTAAATATATATCAAAACAACTTTATAGATGTTAAATACTGGATTAAAAAGAATTTGAGCTTCAAATCAATAAATTATTAGAAGCCGCTGGCCTAATAAAAGAAACTAGTTCTCCATTCGTGACAACTGTAACGTTAGTATTTAAAAAGAAAGATGGTTGTAGATCAAGTTTGTTCGTTGATTTCAGAGTTAAAAAATAGTATTATCTAAATAACAACCATTCCCTAGAATAAAAGATATAATTTTTAAGGCTGAAGGGTGTATTTGGTTTTTAGTCTTCGACATAACACAAATTCAACATTTTTTCATGAAAATAAAATATATATATATATATAAAATAATCATATATCACACAAAAAAAATTAAACTCGCAACTATCATCAAAAACTTTACCTAATAAACCACAAAGAAGGCTAACAATTAATGGACTTAGAGATCTACCTAAGAGTGACTGACAATTGTAATAATCTATAAGCGTGTCAATCCTAATGACATCCTAATCAATAACTCATGTCTCTTTAATTCTATATTTCAATTAGTTAACTGAGTTACTTATTGTACAAATAAATATACATTGTAAATATTCTTGTTGTATACAACAAATATATATAAATAAATAAATAACTTACCAACTGCACAATATTTGTCTACTTTCTCTAATAAAATATCGAGTTCAGTATCATCATCAACTTTTCTAACATATATCTCTGTCAAATCAATAAATGCCGTCATGTATACAACATTACCAGAACTAATAGAATATTTTTTAAATTTATTAAAATCTTCTGAGGATTTATATACATGATCTAAAGTAGAGAAATTTTATTTATACTGAATATATTTAATTACTATGAGTAGTGTAGTAACCTGTTTTTACTAAGGTATCAGTCCCAATATTTTCCTTATTTGTATTATTTACAGTATCTTCATGAGTGGAATTAGAATTAACCCATTGATATGGAGTGAAGCAACTGACTGAAGGTTCTTTGACTAATTTCTAGTAATAAAATAAATTGTTAAATATATCTGAACAGGACAGCAATCTTCTATTACTTTAATTCTACCTAAATTGATGCTTTATTTTTTTTTTTATAAAATTTCAACTAGCAAAAATATTTTTTTGAAATAATGAAATGCAATCAAGCATAGCAAAGGTTAACATCCAACGGTAATTAATGTGTCAATGTGATAATATATAAAGGTAGGTTACTAAAATTTAAAGAATTGGTATTATATTATAACTAGAAATAGGTCTAAATTTCCAGTACAGGCAATTCATTATTATTATGAACCAATAAATTAATCAAAAAATAACAATAAGATTGAAAATCTTTTTTTTTTTTAATTTATTTATTATGAAGTATTTTTTTGTTTATTCCTAGTAAGGGATTAACCCAAATAAAGGAAAAGAACATGTGTGTATATTTGTATAAAAAATTTAATTTAAAATTTTCATACATACAAAGTGATTTTTTTTAATGCTAATCACTTTATTTTTCTTAAAATAAACTTTTCGAAATTTTTTTTTTGGATTTTGTTAGTTACATATGTATCTTCATTTATTTTGTCGGCGAACAGAGAGGCAGGTAGTTCGGACCGGTTGACCAACTGCCTAGCGTCACAGAAGAGATCGGTACTACCTACCAGGCTGAAAGGTAATGAGGGTGGCTTTTAGTCTCAACGACGGTCAGTGTTCAGAACCAAGTAGAAGAAGAAGGACGCAGCAGGTATTCGCTTTCTTTTCTATTCCAATTATTTAATTGTTATTTCATTTTTATTATAAATTATTTTCTTAAATAAAGCAAGTCGGTTTGTGTTTGATCATTCACTATAAGTAAGTTTGTTTTTATTTTATTGCATAGAATAAATTTGTCTACAATAGACAAATTTACAGATAACACAATATTATTGAGAGTAACATTTAGAGCAATTCTAAATAAGATAACTGCATGCGCACAGCTACATTAGGCATAATTTACATAATCTGAAAGAAATAATTAGAGTATGGTGCCTTAACTATATTTTAATTATTTCTGTTTTATAGTCATCGTTGTCGGCGCACTGCGGTGGTCGATTGACGTCTAGGGTACTCGTGCAAGGCGGTACTCTACTGTTATGTGTCGATGGTACTCTGCTGATATCACGACATGTTAAGGGCTATTTACGCAATACTCACAGATTAAGCTACACGACATAACGCATATAGTATTACTTGTTAACCAGCGTAGGTTACTCATGCAGTTAGGTTATAACGACATTTGATATATTTTACACATGGTAGAGCTTCATACTCTGTTTTTTATTATTTTATGATTACAGTCCATTCACGAGTATTAACAATTTGTTATAATTTAAAATCGAAAAGTGAACATTTTAACATAAAAATAGCATTTTTTAACTACGGCATCCATTTGTAGATAAATCGTTGGGACGATTTCTATTTTATCCCCCCTGTGGGTAGATAAAGGTTTTCGGATTTTCAAAAATATTATACCAAATAAAAGGGAATTACTTAAGGTTTCAATATAAAAAATAATTATTTTGATTTGTTACCAATTTAAATAATTGTAATTTTTTGGGGATTTCTACCATTTACAGGGAACAAGTTTTAAGTTTTAAGAAAAAAAAAGTGAAAAAAATGACAAAATTTACTGATTTTAATATTTGTAATTTTTTTGGAGATTTCCCCCATTAGCGGGGAACGAGGGAAAATTTTTCAATTTTTAAGGGTAATGTCTTCAATTAGATATGATTTTTGATCTTTTGACGTATTATTGAGAAAAATTGGTTCAGTGAGAGCTGAGAAAATTAGTGACACAAAAAAAAAATAAAAAAATACAATATGATAAAATTAATACCCTCTCAGCTTTGCATCGAAGATAAAAAAAAGGTAAAATCAATTAAATTCAACAATTATAGTTTTTTGGAATATTTTCTTTGAAATAAAAAAACGGAATAACTTTTTTTATATCTTTAGCAAGATATGATTTGGAATTTTTTGAAATATTGATTCACAGTTTTGGTTCAACAGAAGCTATAAAAGACTATAAAACTATCAATGCCAAGAGTAATTTTCAAAAAATGTTAAGATTATGGATTTGTTGCATTTTTTTTTTAACATAAAACTAAAGGCACCATTTAAGGGCACTTCATACTGATGGATTAGCAAAGAGATAGAAATAATGATAGTAAACTTATAACAAAATCAATAGCTCTTCATTAAAATTAAAACTCATACTGCAAGATAATAAACATGTAAATTTTATTTACGTAATTAGAGAAAATATTAAAAAATAGTTATTGCCATATAGATAAACAAAACCAATTATTTGTACTGTTATTTTTCATAAGCATGTTAATTTACTTCTTAAGATATTAACATCTCTATATATTTTATTTCATTTTGATTGAGAAAAAAACTTAAATTTGTGCAAAATGATCACAAAATCATATTCAACTTTTTGAGATTAAACTTACCAATAAATCCTTTAAATGACTATTTACATCTTGATTATTGTTAACTATTGTCAATGAAACAGAATCTAAACCAAATGCATCATTATCATTATACTCCTATGAAATCAATAATTAATATTAAATTAATATTTCAAAGTATATATTAATTTAAAAATACAAGTTTAATTTTTCTAATAAATAAAAAAAATGTATAATTTTAAAATTATTTTACAGTTCATTTTTTGAAAGAAGTTGTATTACTTACAAGTATCATTGTAGTAGAATTTTCAAACAATGAATAAATATATGTCTGTGCCTCTGGTAGCCATGGTTTATTAGTGATGTCTTTTAATCCAACCAAGCAAACAGTAGGAGGAATCTGTACAGTAAAATTAATTATATTAGCACAAAATAAACTTACTTTAACAATCTTTACACACATTTATTATTTATTGTTTATCATAATACTAAATATTAAATATAAAAAAAAATTTTTTTATTTAAATACAATTTTTTTAGAATTTTAAGAAATATTGTACTTTTAATTTTTAGGCATGGAAAAAGGACTAAAAACCAAGTACACCCTTTGAGTATATTAGTTTAACCTATTATAATTATTCCTCTTATATTATAAACAAAGTAGTCAGTTAGATACATCCACTTATTGCTTTTATTCTTAACTTACTGTCCATATCACAAGTAAATATATATTTTAGATACTAGAAAAATTTTATGACTTCAATTTTGAGAAGTTTCAGTAATGATATTTAATAAATTTTAGTATGTATTAGAAATATTTATGAAGATTAAAAAAAAATTTAATTTAAGTTAGAGGGAATTCTTTAATTATAGAAAATTTACCTAATTGATTGAATTTGTTTTAGTGATAAAAGATTGTAGAAAAAATAATTAAAAATTATAATTATTTAACTTAAGTTATAAAAACACTTTGGTACTGATGNATAATTAAAAATTATAATTATTTAACTTAAGTTATAAATTTTATTTAATATTTAAGCATATTACTATTTTAATTACTTCTAAATTTTTATTTTTATTTTTAACTAATTTGTTATGAACTCGTGTTTTATTATTATTTGTAAATGACTATTTGGCTTTAAATTGTAAAATAAATAATGGCAAATAACCATGGCAATCAATACATTAATAAAAAATAAATATAGAATAGCCCAAAATTTATAATTTGCCTGACTTTTATATTATTTTTTTAAATTTGTTAAAAACAGTTTTAAAAGTTTTATAATACAGTAAAATATTAAAATACATTTTAATTTGTTGTAAATCTAGTTTTTAAACTATGATGAATTCTATATTTAGGAAACATTTTTTTTTTTTTTTTACAACCATTAGGTTGGTTAATACCAACTGGATTGGTATATCCTGGGAAAATTTAAGTGCAGTGGTTTCCCATGGCCTTCTGCCCTGGGAACATAGGGTTTTTTTGCTACCGTACACTCACACGCATGGTCACCCATCCGTTCAACTATGGCGGTAAGCGCGGCTTAACACTAAATTTTATCAACAACTAGTATGACCATCGTGCCACACCATGCCTATTAGAAAACATACAAAACTAAAAAAATTTTAATTTTCTCTCAGAAAAAAATTACCATCCCTACACTTTAAATTTGCGAATGTTACAAAATAAAAATTTTTCATTCAATAAATGTTTAAAATACGCCTTTTTAACAATACTTAAATCAAAATTTTGATCAGTTTTTTTTTTTATAATTCTGAATCACTATGAACTAGTTTTGACTATAAAAACATATAAATTACTTCTTTTAATTGTGGAGATAGATTAACAATGGCACTAAGTGTAGTAGTTATTGTTACACCAGAATCAATTAAATACAAAGAAAAATTTTGTCCACTGATATTAATAATTTTTCCTCTGGTAAACTTGTTAGAATATTTTACTCCAACAATTTCTCCTAATTTTATTGATTTTTTTTCAATAAAATCTAAAAAAATGAAAATTTATGAATAAAATCTATTTAATAGCACAGTAATAAAAATATAATACCTTTATTTTTATAACAATAGGCTTCTACCTCTCTACAAACTTTGATAAATTTATCAGAACTTCTAACAAAAATATGTCTTGGATCATAATTTTCAGGTTTAGCCATAATAACAGTACAACCATTTTTAAATACTTCTGAGCTATCACATGACTCAACACACAAACGAGGATCCCAATTTTTTAAAATAAATTCTACCATAATAGTTCCTTCATATACTAAAAACATTTTTTTATATTCTTCAGAATCAGTTTCATTGTTGAAGGACTCAAATGTTGCAGTATAGCTATGAAAATTCTACAAAATAGGTAAACTTTATAACAAGAATTATTGAATGAATATTTTAACAATCTTACTTCCATAAGATGACGCAAAATTCCTTGAGGACAAATACACATGACCTCAGCTTGAAATGTAGTCACTGGTATAGTTTTATACTTATTTGGGATATTTTTTAGCTTTTTAGTTTTAGTTATTTCCCCAGTGTCACAAAGAGCAACAATAGCTTGGCCTTGAAATTTGGATACAATGTAGCATCGAACCCATTTTTTTGTATTCGGATGCAAACAACCATATAGAGAATCAAACTCTAAATTTGATGTCCTTAAGAACAGTTATTTATATAATATACTTAATATTATTCATTATTTTACACTATCAAAAAAAAATTGGCTTAAAAAAATATTATACTTATAAATAAAACATATATTTAAAATATAAGAAATTCACTATTTGTGACAGTGATTAACATCACTAGTTAAATAAAACACTGATGCGAATCTGTTAAAAATATTTAACAGATTTTTTACATATTTTGAACTATAATATTATAAAACAAAAAAATTGCCTAGTTGATTTTTTTTTCCTTTGAAAAAGTTACAACTTTTTACTTTAACAATCAATTTCTCATAGAACAATCATCAGACAAATTTTTTTTTTTAATATTATAGTACATTTCAAAAGTTTTTATTTGGTATAGGCTAGAAGTTGTCAGACTTTCCGGAAAACCTTAAAGAATTAAGTTAAAAACATTTTTTTTACATACTCAAATGATCTCTTTAAAAACACCTCCTATACTTAAGTTTTTATTGGAGTTTTATAAATAGTGCACAAAAAGAAAACTTATTGTCTCTTATTTATTATGTTTAAAAATTTCATTATAATCACTATATTAAAAAAAGTTATGGCATTTTAATAATGCAGAACATTTTTTTGAAATTGCTGTTTTTTTCTGAAATGTAATTTTGAGATATTTTACTAAACTATTAAATTGTGGGTTTTTTTCTAATTTTCTATGACATTTATTTTGCTTCTCATACTATGTTTTTGAATAGTAATAATACTTTAATTTCCTCAAAAGTTAATGCAAATTTGGTGTTATAAATATTTCATTTTTTTATATTACAAATTTCATAGATCTTCAACAATGAAATATGTAGTGAATAAAAATATTCCAAAATTTTGTTTTAATATTAATAAATATTTTGAAAATATTTAATTTAATATACTTACAAAGTTACCAAATCCTCTTCTGTCAAATCAAGATCAAGAATTTTTTTAAAGCTACTTTGATCTTCAAATATCAAGTGAAATATAAATTTATTTTTATTTCTCACAATATTTGTTATATGGCCAACTGCTTTTTTATTCAAGTAATTTAAACTTCCATTTAGCAAAGGGAATTTTTCATCAAACCTATAACAACATTAATTATTTAATGTTTATATATTAAAACTAAAATTTCAAAAATAATATAAATAACAGTTAGAGCTTATGGATAATTTAATTTGCGAGACAACAACATTTTAATTAGGTTTTTAATAATAGAAGGGTTAGTGTTGTATCTATTGATATCATTACATAGGAACACCATAATTAAGACATTCTTTGGAAAAATAACTTATGCTAGGCCCTTTTTTCAAAGACTTTTTAAAATCATTTTTGTATAAATATATTTGTAGTCAAAATTTAATTTCTATAGGACCATAATGAGTAAACTTATCAATTTTTTTAGTGTAATAGCAATTATAATACCAATAATTCTAATTAATTATTTTTTTTCAATGATATGAATAAAAAAGTTGCAAATATTGTTTTATATGAATTTTTGTTAATCAGAAGTATGGTATTCTATAAATTAGTATATTATTATGGACTCAGGTGAAAAAAGATTACTTAAACTACATTCCATCTGAGAAAAGTTACTATGTACTTCACACATCTAAAAATAATTAATTTGAAACTCAACATTAAAATACTATATGATTTAATTTAAGAGTATTATAAGTAAAATATAAGTAAAATCTTAAAAATATTCAAAAATTTAAAATATCTTAATTATAGTTTCAGGGTTCCCAAAACAAATAAATGTGATTTTTTTATTTAATGTACTCAAAAACTAAAAGTTGACTCTAAACATTCCTGTCAAGTAGAATATGTACTTAACCAAAGAAAAGTTGAACAATACATTGTACTAAGAAAAAGGGTAATAGAAAAGAGCATGAAATGCACACATTATTGTATCGATTATCAAAATCTACATTTGCCTAAATTAAATGTTACATAAACTTATAGAAACATCTTCTGTCGTGTTATATTTTTAATTTTTATGTTTATAACAATGATTTATGGACAGAAATTTTTATCAAATCTTTTGTTTGATTGTATCTTTAAAAAAAAATTAAGATTAATATCAAAGAAACAGTATTGCTATCCGATGCTTATAAAATACTAAACAAAAATACACTTATGGTCTAGTTCAGAATATAATTTACAAAAAAGTAGATATTTTCTATGAATATCCAGTACAAGGAAACACTTTAACTAATATAATAGATACTTAGTAAAAACACATTTAAAATAAAAAGAAATCATTGGTACAACAAAATCATATTTACAGACTGTAGTAGTGTTGCAATAGTCCAAACCCTTGTAACATGTTAATAGATAGGGACATAATAAAAATATGGACAGAAGCATTAATCAATTAGTTTTTTAAAAACCAAAAACTCAATATAAAAACTATCAAATTTAAAATATGCCCAAATAACATATAAAAATGGGTAACACAGTACATTGTAAGCAAATATTAACTACTTCATGATTTTTTTTCAATAAAATGTAGTTAAATTAGTTTTAAAAAAATATGTGTTTGATATTTGAGGCACAATGGAAGCAAAATGTATCAACGGTGGTTAGGATGAATGAATTGAAAAACAATTAAGAAATTATCAATGCAATTTTTAATTAAATATAACTATATAAATGTAAAAGGATAGGTTTTATACTCCATTTTTATAAATAGGGTATCAAATATTTGCTAATAACAGCTTTATATTGAAACGTTATTCAATAATTAAAACGTAAACAAATTATATGATAAATATAAATATATGATCTAATAAAATAAATATGTGTTGGATTAGTTATCTAGATAACTTAATCTATTTTTTTGTTAACATTAAGTTCAATAAAATAAAATTTAGCCAGCAGTTTTCATCTGACATAAGAATTTATACTCATGCGTGTTACATATAGGCGTGATAGATGCAGTCATCTTTTTTTATTTACTAGCCATCCAAACCTGTGTTAAAAGGTTTTGTTTAAAAAATCAGTTATCAGTTATAAGTTAATTAGTTTTAAAGTAACTCAATTAAATTACAAATTAATTACAGAAGTAAAAAAAAAGGGTAGCACAGTAGGGTTAAATATAGATACAGTGATTAAAACCACTATCATAAATAGTAGACAATAACATTGACTAACAATAATAACAATAACATAGCCTTTTTGCTTGATCAATTTTTATAATCTTTTAATGTATTATAAAATTGGGAAAATAAAATTTTATCTTCATTAAATTATTTTATGAATGCCAGAATTAAAAGCATTGTTTTTTATTTATAGATTTATGGCATGTAAGTTTGTTTATTTGTTAATTTACAGATGCATAATTTTATAAATAATACATAAAACTACCAAAAAAACTTTTACTTATAATTTTTTTCTATGAAGTCTATTGGCACTTCTTTGAATATGTTTGATAATGCTATTTATATTTTCTCCCTACCCTAAAAACAATATACATGTACAAGGTGATCGGATTATCATAAACCACTCAATTACTTGCAAAATAAATATAATAATGAAAATATATTTTGGTTTTTATTAGTTATGTATATTTTTGATTTATCTGTTACTAATAAATTTTTTTAATTCATTCTTTATAAATTATATTAATTTTTGTAGAGCTAATTTGTTGATCTAATATAAATTATAAATTTTTAAAATGTTAAAAGACATTTTCAACATTATATGGTATAAACCATAAGAGAAGCGGCAATACTTCAATTGCCTTACCTGACAAGCTATCACTGATAAATTTTTAAGAAAAATAATTGAATATTATTAATTTAATATTCTAACTCTATTTTAAAGCTATTATAAAACATATTCATAAAAAATATATTTACTTTTCCATAGCTATAGTTCTTGAAAACTTATAAATAATGTTATCAATTCTTCACTGAAATAAAGACAAACCATCAAATTAATGTATAACATTTAAATCATTTTTAATATTAAAAATTTTATAGAAATATAGTAATACAACCACAATGTGGTAAATAATTCGATTCTTCAAATAAAGTGTTCTTATACATTTGATATATATCACCATTACCTTACACTTTTCAAGAAAATCCAACAAAACTGATATCTAATAAAGATAGTAAATTAAATATTATTATTTTAGAAAATGAACAATAGCAATAGGATCAAAAATTATTTTGACTAAAATTCAAGGAGAAAATATTTCATTATAAATTACATTTCACGTAAAATACGTTAAAATGAAAAAAAAAATTAATAGTTTAAATATTCTTGTTTTTATTTATTATTATCTATGGTTTTTCAATATAATTTAATAATAAACAAATAAAATAATCTTACTAGAACGAGTCAAAAGTTTTATATCTAATTGTAATTAAAAAAATTCAACAACAAAATGTCGTAGTCGTATTTTAAGACTGCATGCTAATTACATAACCAATGAGAAATTAAAATTCAACTTATTTGACTTCAACTAAAATTATACTGGCATTAAAAATCGTCATAGAAGTTTAAATTAATCAACTTAAATGCCCTGCAAGTGTAACACTATACGAAGTAATATAACCTATAAATTAAATGGCGGGTTTTACGAGTAGGAACTATAATAGAAGTACTGATAAGGGTTTTCTATATAAATTTATTTATTTCAAATCTCATAATAATTATGTAATAGTTGAATAGTCATGTTATGACTATTCCACATTAAAGAATATGAAAAAATCAATTTACACCATGAAAATTTATCAATTAATTTATCGTTTACATATTTACTGCACAGATTATTAAATCTGTGCTTGCGACGTCGTAGCTAGAATTTCATAATGAGGAAAATAGTTAAAAAGTCTACAAAAATCAACATTTTGAACCTTATTTTTGATTAGGACTTTATTTTAGAAATAAATATTGTTGTCAATGGAGGTTATTGTTATTGTTTAAGGGGTGTAAAGTGAATTTTGCCGACTGTTAATAAAAAATTTGCTGACTAAATTAATTTTAAGAGTATAAGACCATAATATAAAGTTAAGATAAATTATTATTAAAAAGTAAAAAAATTACTTAAGACTACCTGTAATGAGGTTGCTTTTTTTGTTACTCAAAAACAATTGTTACTAAATAACTTAAAATTACTTTACTCAGATGAAAGTTGGGTCTACGTTTCTATTGTGTTACAACAAAATAAATGTGTATACAGAGTGGCCCACCACTCACTGACAACTTAAATAACTTTTGATCCAGTTAATATTTTTAGCTGATTTTTTTTTAAATAATAGTTATACGTTAGGTCTATAGCTATATCTCAATAATTAATTTTTTTACATTTTATTAAAAATATTAATTATTTTTAAATTTTAAATAAAAAGTAAAAAAAAAATCTAAGATAGCTATTTTGTAGAGTAGAATTTAAGAAAAATTTTAGTAAAAAAATATCTTATTAATATTCAGTAGTAAATATTCTGTAGCGTTTTGAAGTTTGTGAAAATTTGAATTTTCATGTATTATTTTACGGTATTAAACATTGAAATACGTATTGAGAAAAGGACAGAAGAAAACGCTATCTTTTCAATATACTTTTGAATGAGAGTGATAAGTAATAATTGCCTTATCTAATTTCTTATTGAGAGTATAGAATTATATAGTTATTATATTTATTATAAATAGTTTTATAATATTATTATTTGTTTGTATTCATTATATTGTATGTTATATACAGGCGCGGACTGGGACCAATTTTCTTACCGGGAAACCAAGTTAAAGGGGCCCATAGGCAAAACTTTCGCGGGAAAGCTCCTGGGAGTCCACCCGATTTTTTGTACTGGTTGAGCAAAAAAAAAAAGTCTTTAATAAAATTTAGGCCAAAAATGGTGACTTAAGTAGTGTATTTTTTAGGGAATATTTTGATTAAATAGTCTAGCATCAGTATTAATGAAATTCTTTATTTTTGTTTAAAATCTTTACCATAAATTTTAAGTTAAAATAATATATATTTTTTAAGTTATACGTATTAATGTCTCCCTTTGCGCTATAAATGCTATAAACAAACTTTTAACTTAATGGCTGATTTAATCTTAATAAATTAGTGAAATTGAACAATAGTGTAATTATTTTAAATACTTTAAACTAATACAGAAGTTAAGTTTACAAAATATTCAGCAACGTATTATAAAATAATATGTAATTTTTGAAAATGTGAATCTGAATGTAAAACTACAAAATTAACAAATATATTCAGTTAAATTTTTAATAATCTAAACATTTCTAAACTTTTCTCACACATGAAATCTATTATTTCGTCATTAGTTATTTCATCTACTAATTCACGTTCGCAATTCATGATGAATATTGACTCTAAATTTGGTTGAGTTAATGTGCTTCTCAATCGCGTCTTAATCAATTTCAGTTTGGAGAATGATCTCTCACAGGTTGTTTGAGTTAAAGGAATAGTCAACAAAAATTTGTATACGTCGAAGAGTTCTTTATATTCCAAAGAATACATATTAAACTCATAAATTATGTTCGTCACGCACAATAAACACGAGTTACATTTTCTTATATTTGTACATTTTTCTTCAATGTTTTCATTTTGCATGTAATCTTCAAAGTCCGATTCATCTTGTACTGTTTGATTATATATATCGTCTACGTCATTGATATTTGTTTTTGAAATTTTATGCCAGAATTCGGCAAATGATAGTAATTGTTATTTTAATGCATGCTTATCAATATGTGGTAATAGTTCACAAATCTTGTTTAAGCCGTGTGAATGTATTCCATTTTATCTGATATTTATAAATCGCCTTGGGTCAAATAGTTCAAAATCACCATACAACTCATTACTACCAGAAAATCTGTTCTCTAAACAAGCAATAGTAGTATCCATAACGACACTAAAAGTTTTTATTTCATAAATTTTTTCTGGAGAAGCTCCAATTTCCGGGTCAATGTTGGGGTTATCTTCAAAACGTCGTGGAATGTTTATTCTTCTTTTTTGAGGTAATTCTAACTCAATATCAATTTCTGTTTCGTGTTTCCATATAACTTCGGATGTAAATATTGAAAATTCTTTTGCAGCTGCACTTATCGATGAAAATTCTCTTTGATTTTCTTTTAATGACTTTATAGTTACTTCAATTTTTCGCCAGGCCTGTATATAATCAAGACTAGATGTTTGTAAATAATCAGACAGAGCAGTAGTGAACTTAAATATTTGTAGAAACATCATAGCTGTTAATGTTGTTTCATAACTCGTGAGTCGATTTAGTAAACTTCGTGCTGTACTTCTTACACCAGCTGCAAAACTATTAGAAAAAGATATTTCATAAAGTGCTAAAACAATTGACACATAAGTCAGTTTTTTTCTTTCTTCATTTTCGCCTTCATTTGTCCACATNTTACTGATATATATCAGTAAAAGCTGATGATTTAGAGCAGTATACTAAACATATTGAACAAAATAAAGAGTTATGTTCATGACTATAGGATAACCAATTTCTTTTGATTTTTGTCTGTGATCCTGGAATAATTTCATAATAAGCTTTAGTTGTATTAAATGGTAAAGGAGAGTCATCCATCATTTTCTCTGGGTGATTTGGATGAAACGAAAAAAAATATTTAATATTTTGTTTACCCTTGGGCTTTAAAAAATAATTAAAATTTGTTTTATCGTCAATCTTTATATTTAAATTATTTTTGACTAGAAGGTCAATATCTGTGTTATCACATAAATCAATTTTGACTTCAGAATTAGTGATTTGAAGGTCAATATTTTCGTCATCACGCAAATCAATTTTAACCTCAGAATTGTCCGAATGAATTTTAGAACTAGATGAATGTGGCACAGAAATATCATAATTCCCGAGTGTATGATTTTTACGAGGTATCTTTATCGGCTCTAAATTGGGGTTATCTTGCGAAGCAGTTAAAAAATAATTTGTCATTTTTTTAGATTTATTTGCTATCTCCTCGAGATATTTCTTGTTATGATCTTTTCGTTATAAAGAACCGCTCTTATGATATTTTTTATTTTGGGCGATGTTATCCTTTTCCATTATTAATTAGCCTAATAAATACAAAATTAATTGTACTCTAATTAAAAAATTAAAAATATGATTTTCAGGTTAGTAAATATTGTAGTATTATTCGTTTCCAAAACTTGATAATTTTTATAAAAAAAAACGTAACTTAGTAAAAAATTATTTTGTTTGGAAATATTATGTTTAAAACGGCCTCCCTAGGTTATTTTTAAAATTACACTACTTGATGTTTGTCTATTACAACAAAAAGAATTTTCTCAATTTTTTTTTTGGATTTTTTTAAATACTATTTAAAAATAATTTTTACTTTTTTCCTAAACACTATTTTTTTTTTAAATTTTAGCTTCGATGCGAAGCTGAGAAAGTACTATTTTACCATGACGTGTTTTTTTTATCTGCCATCTACTTTTCTCAGCTTAGACTTGACCGATTTTGATGAACTATACGTAAAAAGACCACTAATCGTATCTAGTTAAAGACATTCTTCTCGTGTCCCGGAAAAAAAAGATGTGCTATCGTTTTAATATTAACTTCAGCCATAAAAACCAATAGAAAAATAAGTTGCTTTTGTTAAATTATCTGACTTTTCTAAAAATAATATTGATTTTATTCGCGTTACAGTCATTAAAATTGAGTTTTTATAATCAAAAAAATTGCTTTTTTCGTGTTACCAAAATTTCAGAAGTTCTCTAATATATGTTTAGAAAGGTAAGAAAACTTTACATAATATGGGTAAATTACAAATGGGGTTCTCCATGAAAACTTTTAAAAACTTTTAGTAAAATCGAAAAAACGGAAAAATATCTTATTTTACACATAGCTTAATAAATATTGATTAATGTGGATGTTCTTTTCATTGTAATATATGTGCAGTATAATTTTAATTTTTTATTTGTTGCTAGGCAAGAATAAGTAAACATAATTTTATACGCTATGGTTATAGATTTACGTAATTATTGTATGCACTCCTAATTATAATTAGTATACATGTCATAAAGAGTCGGATCGAGACTTTTCAGCCTACCGAGATTTTAAGTTTCAGCCCTTAACAAAGAGTCAGCCCATACGACAAAAGCTGTTGTACTCATCTCTTATTTTATTTACATCCTAGTCAAAGAAAAAAACATAATTATTCTTTCGTGATCACTTTTTAGTAGAAGAATTCATTATTCGCGATCTGACCTACCCCTCAAGGAATCGTACATTTATTCATATTCCTACTCAATCCATCTCTTATAGTCATAATAATTCGCTATACTGTATGCTTCGTAGTGTCAATCAACGCCATTAGCACATTTTTACTAGCACCCCTCTGTTATATCACTAATTACTTTATTATTATATATTTAATCTTTAATTAATTAAATCACTTAGTTGTAAACATTATGTAAATTGCTGTTTGGCGCGAATAAATTAAATAAAATAATAATTGTTTCACTTAGACATAATTATAAATAATTTCTCGGTAGCTCCCTGGTTCAATTCAGACATGGTGTCATACGTGTCA